ACACTCTACCCTTCAGGGCGAGAGTAATGTCGCGCCGGCGCCATAGGTGGCGATGGGAAGCAAAAGCACTTCGAGCTTTCGCTATGTAGTTCGTGATCTCGTCTGCGATCCCAAGGGCGCTGATACAACTTCACAGGTAGTTGTAGTCCAAGGGTCAGCCTAGGAGGCGGTCCAGACCAATCTTGGAGGAACGCCTTGCCCTTAAATGGTGCAATGCAAAGCCAGAAGCGGCTGACAGCCAGTGCTAATCTGTCCAGCGCGGCTTGGCACGTCTTCGAGCTGTCACAGATTAGAGCAATGTCGTATGCATACTCCAAGTCAAGAAGTCGTTCTCCTGAGAGTAGCTCCACACCTTCCAATTCATGTCCTGTAAATGCAAACTCCATGACTTCGTCAACAACGAAGTTGAAGAGGAAAGGTGACAGCGGGCATCCTTGTCTCACGCCGCTGGAGATATTAAAGAGCGACGACTGCTTGTCGTAAGCCCTCACTCTGCCCGAGCTATGCGCATATAATTCTCGGAAAATATTCACATATTGCTCAGGTATACCTTTCCTGAGTAGACAGTCCCAAAGTGCATGTCTATCCACCGAATCGAATGCACCTTTGATATCGAGGAACACGACGACGGTGCGCCGCCAATATATGTGGGACGGTGCTCCAACAACTGACGCAAAGTGAAGATGTGGTCAATGCAGCTACGACCTTGACGAAATCCAGCTTGCTCTTCGCGAATCTGGCTTTCACGATTGCCAGTCAGTCTGTGAAGGATGACAGAGGCAAGCAATTTGGTGGCGATGGAGATCAGAGTGATTATCTATGGCTGCCGCATTCCGAGCGTTAGTCTCCTTTGATAATTGGGACTATGATGGAGCGGCTATAATCGGTTGAAACAGTCTCCTGCTCCCACTGTCTCACTAGTAACTCGTGTAAATCATCCACAAGAGCAGGTCCCCCGCATTTGAAGAGGGCTGGAGGAAGGTCATCAGGGCGCGCGGCTTTGCTCAACTTCAACAGTCCGATCTCACGTTCAACTTTTGAGCAAGTGGGTGGATCCAAAGGGACAACCCACGGAGCAGGGCGATCACTGGCCGGCGAAGAATCGAACAATTCTAGCCGATTAAATTGCTTTTCAAAATGCTCCGCCCAACGCTCCAACTGTTTTAACAAATGGTAGATAGGCTGTCCACTCTCAACACAAATTGTTTCTCAAACACTAGGTATCCTGCTGTCCGTTTCCCGTATCAGACGGAATAACTTATGGTGGTGGCGAAGGGCAGCGGCCACTTCCATGTCTGACGCACGGTGAGACCACCATGATTCGCGGTCTCTCATCAGGATAGCACGGAGCTTCGCCCGGAGCTCTTTGCGAGTTTCATTGTGTTCTCTTCCAGCCGGATTATGCGGGCTAGCATCTATAATTTCCAGAGGCTGTGAAGAGACCCAATGTTTATGTTGACTATTAGACATACCACATGAGGAGTTGCCTGCTGCTAGTAAGGTCTGTTGAATATGAGACTTGTGAGCTTTAATTGCATCCTTTGAGCGTTTATCTAACTCGGATGACAGCGTAATTTGGTAGGAGTTCATAACAGCTGACTTCACCAGTCTGCCGTTTTCATATCGAGGTCCGCATTGCTCATTGGCTTAAGGTGCTGACTATTTGGCATCTGCATCTAGCGGTCATGGTTTCGATCCACATTAGCGGACAGAAGGAATGCACACCACTGACGAGACACAAATGGCGAAACGCGTCTGGTGGTTTTTCGAAATAGGCTGTGCTATGTAGCCTGTGGACTACCGGGATGCATACCTTTAATAATTACAACTAACAGCCTGCTGCTTACAATATGTAAAAATCATACGCACCTACACTTCTCCCGAAGCTGATGCCGTCTAACTGGAAATGCTGGGCTTGGCGGCTGAGTTGCTCTTGAAGCCCTTGTTAATATACTTTCATGTTTGAATGGACGAAGCGTAAGTCTTTACTACTCGGCATGTGAGTACCAATGGACTGCCTCCAACCCGCTAGGTATCGCCAGTTGACATGCAATGTTAACTTGTCAATTATGGTAAAAAGCACATGAGTTGTATCATGGGGACCTATTTAGAAGAATCTAACATCGTGGCGTTAAAACAGCATAACTTCCGTCGACACCAGTCTTGTACTGCATATCCATGGTTTATGTGGAATTTGGAACGAAATGATTGGTACCGATAACAAGGTCAATGTTATGCAACTAGCCCGCTCAAATCATACAAATGCCTGGATTACTGTATTCTTGTTTGCAAGCTCCAATACAAAGGGGTTGGGACATTATATTTGGTGGCTCAATGGTTTGCTTCTTTAGCGAGAAATGCAGGGATGTAACTTAACTGTATGTTCGGTGTTTGGGAGTTGCCTACCTGTAGTTTTCAGTCTAAGTGATTTTAAGCGGAATAAATTTGGCATGGCTTGTTGGAACTAATAACTTGTAAATTACTTTTATATAAATTACACATTGATGACCGGGAGAGGCGAATGCCCATTTCCCAAATGACTTGTCAGTCACGCCTCACGAAATGGTCTTTGTTCATTCACACGTTTTTGCTGAGAAATCGCATCCGATCAGCATGCTATGAAAATGTTCTTTGATTTTGCGGAGATATTCGTTGCTTGAGATATATGGACAAACTTCTCGCCTGTATTGTCCCAAGCTGCTACCAAAGCACAAAAAATATCAGGTGAATTGAAGACATTCCTCTACTAATTTTTTTAAAATGGATTAACTGTAAGCTTGTTACTTATTTTACAAAAACCTTTAGAGAAAATTATAAATGACCTGTCAAAGGGGATTCCTGTATATCAAAAAAGATGTTTGTATGCATTAATGAACGCTTAGCGTGCGTCACATTCAACCAGTTTTGGGCGCTTTCTCATGCTGTGGAATGTTGCTATTTCCTCCCATTTGGGAGAATATGTATTTGCCTGAGGAAGCTTTTGCGTTAAGATCACAACGTTGTCAAAGAAACGAAAAAACTGGTTGCGCACAAAACTGTTCACAATGAAAGCCTCCAATTAATGTGCAACCAATTGCGCATTCAATTTCTGCATGTGCAAACTAAGACTCCTCCTCCGTTATATTTCGTCTCGTCTTGCTTGCTGCGTTTTTCTGCAGCCTCACTAGTAACCAATATATTGTGAGGACGGTGTTATAGCCGGTCCAGTACGATGAACCCGGTCTTCAGATACACGAATACCAACGCTATCCCAAAATAAATTACGATTAAACTACCACCCACGATTAGTTTGAATCATGTAGAAACATATTTCTATATGTGATAGGATTCAGAACGGGGGATCTGCTAACACTTTCGTTAAGTTCCAGTCTAGTTTGAGCTTAAACATTATTCCAGTCAAAATCCTCCTTTCCAAATCTAAAACGCACCCCTCTAGTACTTTTCGTATCATTGTACTTACCGGGATTTCTGCAATTGCTTGGCTAAACAGATGCGATGAAATGTGCTCTGTAGCACAAACACGATATTAACTATAGCTTCGGAAGCATATCCTTCTTAACTACTGAAAGTTGGAGCGCCCGAGTACTTCCTGGTTGGAAGTATTACTTTGCGACCGCATGCTTCCTATAGATTTGTCAACCTACGCCTCGCCTTTATTCTACCGTGTCACATGTCATTAGACATTCTTCAATAACTATGGAAAGCCCATTTGAATGTTTGTTATTACTATATACACTCTCGGGGTTACTTTAAATGATTGCAATTTTAACCAAGGATATGTATTTATGTACATAGCATCATTTTCAAATCTGGAGGTGCATAAACGATTTTTTAAATTATAGCCGGATTCAAATGTTTGCTCAGGCTAACGAAACATTCCATTGCACACTCCGCACTGGTTGACTACATCTGAAGCGACACTACTTCAACAGGCGCCTCCCGCAACTGCCTAGTTGAATACCAATTTTGAGGTTCTGTAGTCTGCGTATCCAAATAAGGAACCTACTGCTTACTTTGACCTCACCAGGACACGTCGGTCTTTGCCAATTCACTAAGTGACAAATGCTTCTGCCACATCGTCAGTTAACAAAACGAAAGCAAATACGTCATATGACTCATGTCTCGTTGTGTACATGAATATTTGCGGACATCGCTTACTATCAGATGGCACGCAAAATAAAGCAAAGCTTGGCCTAGGAATCGGTAGTTCTTCCTTGATTAGGATCAGCTAATCTCTTCCAACGACCCTATGTCACATGCGGCTAATTGTGGTGCCATTAAGCCGCCCTTATATTTTTCTATTTGCCGACTTTCTGCTTCCTACATCTTTGTTTGCAATGGTCGCCCTCTTCCCATTTGACTGAGTTATCTGACTTCTTTCATGGTAGCTTTTACGCTGAAGCACGCCGTTGTACACTTGCCAGAAATTGTTCGATAACCTGTTCCAAAGGCTTTAGTTTACAGAACAATATGTACACGGAGTTCAAATCGTCCCCTTTGTTACTTGGATATTTACCCATAAACTGTGCATTGTTGGTGGCAGTAATTAGGCTTATCGGGCACATAGTCCAGTCAGGATGAGATAAGGAATTGCGTCACACATGTGAACACTGGACCAATGTAGTTGGAGTCAATTAAACGGGGGGTGTCGTTTGAGCAGTAACCGTGTGCGGACAACAGTGGCGTCGACCGCACTGCGGACCAACCGCACTGACCCCGTGACCTACCATTGCGAGAAATGACGTCTTATTGGATAGGTAAGGGTGTCTGCGCTTTTCACGCAGTGAAGCGCCGTTGGTGGCCCTCAAAGTTGTTAACATCCCGCTCTACACACTTATACCCCATCAGTATCCGTGACGCCATAGGCCACCACGCAATACCACTTGGTTTTAACACCCAAACCATCAAACGCCGGATTCGCAAGTCATTAATCTCGTGCGTCCTTCCAAGTTTGGACCTACATATCAAAGAAATCTGATAAGCGGAGCAAAACCTGGACGATGAAAGAGTTCGATCCGAACAAAGACGAATGTCCAGAATTTGCTTGGATAACAGATGAAAGTCGCAAAATATATGAGGCAATCCAGGCTAATGTTCGGGCTGTAAGTAAACGGTAGATTCCATATATTATTATGTGCATATCTTTGAAATCGACTGTTTAGTATTAACCCTAATCAAACAGTACGTTTTTTGCTTTATTTTGGGATCAATATTAGACACCCTAACGGGTATGCGCCTGTTGTTTACTAAACTTGCATCGATTGTGGCGGCATTTTCATTGGTTTGGTTGTGGAGGTAATGTCGCAAAGTCATCTGTCAGTTTCAGCTTTCTAGTTAACTGTATCGTGTTTTATTATTTGCTCGGAAACTATCACCAACGCTCCGGCTTCCGCGGATCCTCCCATGTTCTAACCCACGAATTCGAGAATTTGTTGATAGGCTTTTAGCTTCTCTTCTTCAAACATCAAGTTAGATTGGTTTGTAGACAGCGAAATTGTGTACCTTTATGATTGGGAGAGGCGTTTTCGCCTCCAAATACATTGTGGTGATGAGGGATATTTCTAATCAACTACTTTGAGAACGAGCAGCCGGAAGACCACACTTTCCATAAAAATGCGTCATCACTGTCCGCCATGGGAAATCACTCTTGATTCTACCGTCAATTTATAATTTCTATATGATATCGATCTGTATAACATGATGACACTGGTTTCGTTGCTCGATTCTGCTTAAGGATTTCGAACAGGAAAATCTCCCAACTGAAAACGCCCAGCATGATTATATTTCATAGCTTATGATTGTCAGTTTGAAATGGCGGGTTGTTTGTTTATCACATGTAAATGCCCGTGATGCTTGCATGTGCATGGCTTTGTTTCATTCACACCCGAATTCCCTTTTCTTACGCCTTGCATTTAGTGTTTAGCACAACCCGTGGATTCAAACTTTGCACTACCATATGCAAGCCATCCAGTGTTGCAAACTTTGAATTTGACGGCAGATCGGAAATGTCGATCTAGTTGTAGCACCCATGTCGTTGGTGCGGACAAGTCAGTGAGACAAAGATTGCCTCCACGAATCCAGCTCGGCCGTCACATCATTAACACCTGGTATTCCGCTCCGTATCCTTCCGAATACGCCAGGTATGTATGCTCTCGAATTCACTGATATTTCATCTTGCAACAAACGACCTCAAGACAATTAAGTACAGTTGATCAGCATTCTGTCCGATGTTAGCACTTTGCTGACTGAATAGTTGATTCTCATTTTTGTTTATCCCTAATGTTTGAACTGCTCTATGCAATCAAATTGCTTTTGTGACTCTTGATTTTATACTAAATAACCGGATTCATCTTAGATTTTAGACGCTGTTTGTTTATGGATTTACTTGTTAGGTTTTCATCGCTTGACATGCAAGCACCTCGCTTTTTGCATACATAGAAATTTGCTCATGATTAGGAATAGCGTTAGAGCAGTCCTTTGTGGCCAGATTGTTATGAACAGTTCTCAAGCCGTTCTAGATTGCTTGCTGCATCTTGGGTACCTTAATCGCAGTGAGACAAACGCATGTTGAAGCAGGCGGAGGTATGCACTTCTACGCTCCATATACTTTCAAGCTATTTCCTTTATTTCACAGGGACAATTGGCTCATCGATTGGTGGAGAGGCTGCTCCCGCTCATACTAGACTTCCACTGTTCGACAACTCAGCAAACCTATTATTGTGCTTATAGCCTATTCAGAGAATTAGCAGCTAGATTTAGCTATTATTATCCCCTATCACGTCTGAACTTTAGGTGTCAAAGATAGGGGGTGAGAACCGTCTAACAACCCAGGTCATAAAACAATTTTGTGTGGTATTTAGGCAACCGCATGTTTAAATTTAGACATGCCTTTAGCATGGGTGGTATAATTAGCGCACTTTGATCGACTAAACTGCAGAACCAACACTCATATAAGTTAAGTAGCGCTGCACAACCTATACCTTTCGTTGGCTCCTTCTTTCCTGAACAACCATAGCCAATATGTCTATTTGTGATAATAAGCCGAAGTATTATTTGGACTGGCTGATGTGCTTACCCCACTGATTCATGTTCTAACCTTCTCGAAGAAATTAAAGGGTGTGATACGGAAATTATCGAAATCGAGAGAAAAGAGTTGAACTCGGTATATGTCACGATGGCACACCCTGACAGATGACAATACATTCTATGGCTCCATTGTTAAACGAACGCAGCTTCGCTGCGTATGAAACCGCACTTTGATCTTACCGGATAGGATGCTGTTTGCGCTTACGTTCTTATTTTTGCCACCAGTATGGATGGTTTTGTATTACAGGCAATATTATGTAACACGTTCACAACAAGCCCCCATGCTTATGGTTCGTATATGCACATATGCAGACAACATAAATGGTCTGTGCTTTCAAGGCATATCCTCGTGACATTTAGCGTACTGCATCTTCATACCGTGCTTCATTTCCAAGTAAAAACAAAATATCAACACTAAATGGATAGTGAGAGGAGAGGAGAATGCACTCTACGTCAACCCGGTTTGAAAGGTCGGCATATCTCTATTTACCATTAAACATGTGCGCCTTAATGTTACTTTTGTTGTAATCCCCCCACTCCTCTCGATTCTTTGCCAAACAGGCTCAATCTTCTCTATATATGTGAATACTGCCTGAAGTGTTCAAAAACACGGAAGGTTTACATGCGGCACATTGTAAGTTTGTGATGTCTTTGTGTCCATTCAATTTTCTACATTATGTTTGGCCACCATTCTAAATGAAAAATATACTTTTGGTTCACGTAGACAGGAGATTCCGAGAAATTCTGTATGGAACTAAGTCTGTTGACAGAATACAAGCAATAGGCCACATTGGCCATGGCTATAACAAATGTCAGCTACTGTCACTCTCATTGGGCTAGGGTATTCCGAACTCATTCTTGTCTGCTGTATGCAGTGTGAAGTGAAATATTTACAGCCTGTTACCCCTACTACCGTATTCACTGCGGAGCTCCTGGTTTTAGTGAACTTTGATACTGCCACGGGATGATGGGAGTATCGTAAATTCGCGGTACCCGCATTGTGCACTATTTAGTCTTTCATGACAGCTGAAACAGTGAGAGTGGGTTCCAAATTAAGAGTGCGCCATTCCGAGATTTTTTGGACATAAGTAAGGGCGCAGGTGTGTTTGGGTTGACAAATTTGAATTGGAATGGAATGCGCATATGAAAGTAAATCCTCATCCTTACTTCCCGTTAACTTTGTAAATGAATTGATTAGTATACACTTATGCATTAAATTATATCTGCTGGAACGAATGATCAGCTAATAACCCAATACTCTAAATCATAAATGGATGCAAAGGCTTTTCACTAGATCTTGAGTAGGTTGACACGTTGTGCTGCGTTATATGCACGGACTTGCATATTAACATCGTCAGATTATGTAACAAGGGACATTCGATATTGTATCAACTCCGCAGGCACAGCGCAGCAATGTAGAAAGTTCGAACACTTCCTTCTCTTTGGAGATATTCATTCCAGTGTGACAAAGCAAACCGAACATATACTGTATGCTCTGACGAAGTGCCCGTGTGTTTCAATTGCGCCATCCAATTATGTTGCAAATGAAATGATCATGAAGCGAATACCATCAGAATACCCAAATATAAAATGCTACTCAAAGCATGTGTTCCAGCTACCATATACTTGTAGCTAACAACATTGTGGTTGAGACGGTTGAACGAGCATTTTTTCTATGGCTCATCATTTGCATATTTCCTCTCCCCATGTCCACTATACCTGCTCAGGAAAAATGTCCCTTCAGCTTCCCGCCTGGGAACGAAATTTATCGTTGTGGAAACGTGTCCGTTTTTGAGATAGACGGAAACCAATCGCGGCTTTATTGTCAGCAGCTATGTTTGCTTGCCAAGTTGTTTTTGAACCACAAAACAGTATACCTTGACGTGGAGCCTTTCCTATTCTACGTGGTGGCTGTTCGGGAAGAAAATTGCTTCCACTTGGTTGGCTATTTCTCCAAGGCTAAGCAATGGGCGCAAGCATTCAATCTCAGCTGTTTGATGGTCCTACCCCCGTATCAGAAACTAGCATACGGACGTTTTTTAATCGATTTCAGTGAGTCTCATTTCAACAGTCATAAATACTTTGGCATATCTATTTAATTCCTTCATACTTCGACGCTTATTGATGTACTGCATTGGGAGAGCAAACTTGCATTCCATGTACTAGCTTATTATCAAGGACGGAAGAATGATCTAGGTAAATTCAATGAAAACGTCAAATTCGCAGCCGGCAGCCATTTGTATTAGCCTATTTAACCGTTTCTATCGATATGTACACTCATGTTTTCTCTTTTACACCCTAGTCACAAACATACAACTAGATTTCCTATAAGTGTAACGCATGAAAGTTTACTTGAGCGAAAGCTAATATATGGGTTGATTCAGATGGAATGTCCTGTCAAGGCAAATCAAGCATGTGCATTGTGCACCCACGATTGCTGAATATGCAGCTGCAAAACACAAGCCCAGAACAAGGGTATTTAATGAAATGGAGTTTAAAACAGTAGTTCTTTAGGAAGGCTAACGGCGCTAATATGAAAGGGTTACGATGTCCAAAATTAATGAGGAGCTATGTTTTGAACATTTAAAAATGCGACAACTACGGGGTAACTGAATGAGAGTGCGCTGCAGAAAGGATAAGGAACATCATTGACAATTCTGGATGTTGGAGATGACATGGCTGCTCATGTTTACGCCAAAATTTTCAGCTTTTAAATGCCAATATTGCAAGGGAATTGCTCCATTTACCTGCACATTGCGAGCTAGTTGTTGTTTTCTTGGTACGAATTTTTAAGATAAATTCAATTGAGCAGCCGATCGCGTTTTTTCGATCTAAGCACTCACGTGAACTTCGTTGTCACTTGCATCTACCTATATGTTCTGCTTGTGTGTTTCGCCTAACTGCTTAGTTGAAGAATGACTTCTAATTGAGATGATTCAAATCGAATGTCATTTTAAAGCAATATACATTTTGTACACCCACGATGGGTAAATATTCAGCTGCAGTACTCATGCCCCAGAAAAGAGTACTTATGCAGTATAGTTCACAATAGGATAGGCAAAGAGGACTAGTTATTTATAAGGCCGAATGGGTCTTATCTATTAATTAATTCATCCGTCAAGTTATGTTGGACTTAAATACGATCAGTGAAAAAGCGTAACAGAGGGACAACCGTTTAAGCATAAGTGTGTTAACGAGCGTATATAGTTTGGTGCTCTGAGAGTTCGGTAAGTTCGGCACACAAATTTATGGTCGAGAAGTCTGAAATGCATGTAAACGCTATCTTCTATAGTGGTGACTACCATTATTGAAAATATTGGATAAAAATCTGTTGCAGGGGCTGACAATATGGATTCGGTTTTGTCAACTAGTCTCAGCCTTGAAACACGACATGAATACGTTTGTTTCGCCGACTCTGAAAACACCTTATGGCTCTTATCAAGTAGGCTAGGGAGGATCGCTGCTATTGCACCACCATTCGACTAAAAATCATTAGGTCCGAAAGCATTTCCTCTATGCCGTCTTCGCTTTTTCGGTTAGACGAACCAAATATATTAGTTCGGAAATACACCATGGCGCGAACCTTAAATATTACTCTCAACAAGATTATGATTCAGCTATCATTAACTATTAATTTGAATAAAATAGCATACAGGATCATTCGGCAGCTCTCCAGGGCCATCACGAGAACGTCCCATGAAACTGTACTCTGAGTCATTTTCACCGCAAGGCCAGTCGTCAGCTGGTAACCAGTAGATAATGCAAAGGACAACAGTTTCCTACTATGTGGAACCATTTACCAGCTCATGTAGACCAACTTATAACAGGACTATGACCAGTCGACTGTCCAAAATAGTCCGCAAGCATTGGCCAGTGTGGCTCCACAGTGAAGTGAAGAAAACGGCCACGAGCACGCTGGTGTCACACCTAAATCATCAAAGAAATGCGCAAGAGGCATTTTAGCATACATTGCAGTACACCTGGATGCCATAAGGAGCAGTCTGATGCCACCTGCTAGCAAAGACAGAATCGCTTACTACTTGGTTCCCTAATCCGAATTTGCGAACGCAGAACATATTCGTTTAAGCTCTCTATCTGCCGCGGTCACAATCCGTCTCCTCGATAACCAAACCTCATGCCATCTTAAACTTACTCAACGTGATTTGGTCACGAGACCATATGGTTTCAACCATTAACTTCACTGATTTACCAGACCCACAAGACCTGTTTTAACTTTATATCTAGTTAAATGTTCCGGGGTACATTTATAATGGAAGCTAGGGAAAACAAGCGCGTTAGCTTAACTAGCCTTTGCATTACTAGTTTCTAAGGGTTATTTTCACAAACAAATGAAAATGCTTTCATATGGACAGCAGATATCGAAGAGGAATTTTAGCTGACTAGTTCAACGAATCAATGATGTTATGTCAGTACAGGATATAGTATTTGTGGTTCATGTTGCTACAAATAACAGGGAATATCTTTATTGTAGCATTAGTTTCTCTCCACTAGTTTTTTGATTTGATACAGGAAACATATACTACTTCTAAAAAATAACTTGTTTAGAATTGCCGCTAACCTGCTTGAAGATTGCACATTGTTTCATAGTCAAAAGTTTCCTGGGAGTCGGTTGTCAGACTTGTTAACTTCGCCAGTAAATGTGTACAAGGAGAATTCCAGTTAGTAGACGTCATCAGCCGTAAAACAATTATAAAATTTTTCATCATCACAGACTGAACAGGTGGTGGAAATAAAGTTATTAGCTAACAAAATTGAGCGAAATGCGTTCGAGTATCTGGGTTAACGTTTCACGAAATAATGACCACTACGTTGCGAGCTGCACGGGATATTGTCTTTCGTCGATTTGCACTAAGTACATATAATCTAGATGATAGCGTTATCATCAGGGTCCCTGTCGCCACACACATGATAAACATGACAGGTGTTATATCCATCAGTCACCACAACTACATCTTCCACGTCGTCGTGAAGCCATGCTTTCGTAATGTAATCTAATCGAAGCCTAATTAAAAATATTCTTGATAACCTTATATAGTATTGAGATCTTCGTTACCAAGCTGTGCTCAGATATTTACAACTTCTCTCGGCATCGCAACAAACCGTTTGATATGGCATTTTCATGCGCAATTATTCGATTTTTCTCTACTAGGATTGGGTAGCTGTAGGGTGGTAAGCAATATTTTGCAGCTTTGCGTGCCCGTGTAGTAAAACCGATGACTAGCTGAGGATCTTACAGTGCCCGTGATATCTTTTCCAGACGGCGACCAGTAATTTCTAGTAGCAAAGCGTATTGCAGATTTCCGTAATGTTGTTCCGCTCCAAATGATATATACTGGCATGATATTTGGGAGTAGATCAGACGCAAGCAAGATATTTATGACGGCAGTCACCAGATTTCAGCTTTACTGGGTGACGTTTGAAACGGCTAGCTAACGTTGTCCGCGGTACCATATCAGCGAGATCGTTCCACATTAATTTCAATAACAGAATTGGTGCGGCGTTCATGTGGCTTGTTAAACGGGTTATTGACGCATTTATTTACATACTTGATCACGATCAGTGGCCAGAAGCAGCAGTCTTTCGTTGCACCCAGTGAGCTGCTGTCAAAGGCTACAGGGAAGTGTATAAGAGTAGTCGCGGAACGGTACGTAGGAAGGTTTGTGTGTGGAAGTTGAGCAATGGAGACGAAGGAGCCAGTAGACGTATGACGTGCAAAACGCTAGCAGAATGATCCATCCATGATTCGTCGATTGGTGTGCTGCTACCCGGTTGTCCAGGCCGAAGTGAAAACTTGTGTTTAAAGGTCATACCGCTTGCTTTTGATCAGGGATTTAACACAATATGATATGAGAGCATGGTAGCCCGATGGTAGAAGGTAACCAACAAGTTGTTCATAAGGCTTCAAGTCCTTCAGAGGATCATGGGCCTAACACACGCTTGAGTTACAATGTCACTGTGAGCTAAGAAAGAAGCAGTGAATATATAGTGGCCAGTCACATCCGCCATATCCCAGTGTTATTAAGCAGAAATAATTAGCTATCATAAGAGAAACGCTTGCCATCCGAAAACCGACCATGTTCCGTAATACTGTCGCAGAACCATTTGCTGGGACGGGACTATCCAAAACCACCCAGTTGGCACAACTTAGAGGTTGTTCGGCAAGCCTGCCACAGTTATCGATTTAAACCGCGCGCTTTCTGAGGTGTACCTGATATTGCTTGTAACTACGCGACACATGGGTAATTCTAGGATGCATTCAGATCTATCTTTAACGACTCATTGAATCTATCAGCACCTTTACTTAACAAGCTGAGCATCTAGTGCATGATACCTTAGGATTCATAGTCGAAAGATTTAGGGATGTGGTTGCCCAATTTTGTGTCCACATCTAGTCAAATTAACTTCGGCTTTGTTGACTAGTATCTGTTTGACGCATACGGGGCTACATCTGAAATATACTGCCAGCCAGTCGATTAATCGTGCTTTGTTGTGATTACATGCGCACGAGCAAATCTCCGTTCGTCTGCATACTTCCCAATTGTTGATGTCAAATCGAGAAAAACATATGGAACCTTATTAACAAGGAAACAATGGTACCATGGTTTTCTACGGGTAAAATAGATAAGCTTAACAGGTCCCGCAGGATGATTCTGGTAATAATTAAAATATAGATAAAGTGTCAGCAAATTTAGGTCCACACCAGTAAACTCACCGCAGTATTCTTAATATAAGCTGTAAACCCACCGTAAGTCGTTATGTTCCGTGGAGCACATGTGTATCCGTTGACACACACATATATAACAGTTTGCACCGATTTCATGTGAGGTGGTCAACACGAGGTTTGCCTACGTCCTGTTAACACCAAGTGAACAGAAGTCAAATCAGGTAATGTAAGTGTTGTAGTGCATCGTCGAATAGCTTTTTTAGAACGACTTGCTTGGGCTTAGAAAGGATAAATGATGAAAGGGCATTCCAGTTGTATTTGTTCAATGCACTTACCTTAGGAGCTGCATCAACAGCGATGGACACTTGACCACGAAGGCCAGAACCACTTTTCGTATGTGGCATATCTGAGGAGATATTCAATCGGTCGAAGAGGCCATGTGCACAAGACCACATTAATTGAATGAGATTTATCCATGTCGGTCTGGAGATCCGCGGCTCTCTTTATTGTTTTATCATCTATATCTCCGAAGCGTTGCTGGTATCGGAAAAACAAGTGTGTCCCCAACAAGGATGCAAGTTTCGGACACTAAGCAAAGTCTATCGGGCAAGATTTTTAAATCCACAGGTTATAATGAATAAATTGTTTTGCCATGGACAGTGATACATTTGTCTTATTATTGCTTACTCAGAAGGGCTTGGTTTTGCTTGCAAACTGTACGAAGGTAGATGTCTCGAGGAAAGCAATGTTGTATTTGACAGCAAATATTTTAGTCGCTGACAACTAAACCTCGTGCCGTTTCTCCAATTCCCCCTCCAGGTTGCTGCCCACGTAAACCGCATCGTTCTTTGATGGAGACTTTATCGAAAATAACCCTCAGGTTTTATGTGTGCTTCTCTTGCATCCTAGTCACATTACCATTCAAAATGTTTTGTTGTTGATTTTGGTGGCCGGTTACGACTCCAGGCAGTGAAAGCAGCAACGAACTGTCTCACTTAGTCCGCTTCAACTCGGCGCGGTAGCCAGCTGTTTGTAACCGTATATTCTTAATACCGTGTTTACTTAAGCCCTCAATGTTTGCTTGGCGCATATACTATCTACCGTAGAACCCGTTCTACCAAGCTTAAGATGCGTTGTTCCCTAGATTCTTGTATTTATACGCTAATGAAGCACCAGTTTTAATTATATATGTACTGCTCCCCATAATTAGGATATCGATAGTGAAACCGTGTGTGTTGATGCTGATCATGCAGCATAGATTGATACATATTTCCACATGGAGGTTAAAGTGCATTACTTTCAGACTAACTGGATCAAGTAAGCAATGAATCTTGTTATATACTGCGACCATGGTGTCCATTTTGCAATCACAGTATAATATTGGTTAACACAACTTTCAGCTCAGGACAGTGTAACAATCATTGATTCACATCATAAAGTCTACGCCTTGATTAATGGTTTCCCTCGGTGCCTATTTACCAAACTAGCAATGAGCAGGTGCTCTCGAAAGTTACTGTTTCATGCGTACCACAGCTCTCTGAAAGTTGTGTGTCAGGTTCATGCTCCAAAGCCTCTTGCATTTAGCACTCTCAATATGCTACCTTGCGAACGCCATCCCCACTTTCTTGTTTTATTTTTAAAGGCTACCTGCTCTCTCGTAAGGAAGGAAAACCCGGTTCCCCAGAGAAACCGTTCTCAGAGTTGGGTCGTCTATCCTATGAGTCTTACTGGCGTTCCAAGGTTCTGCCTTTCATCATGGGTTCGTTCGAGAGCGATACGGTCTGTGAGGCAAGAAAACTAACGCCATCCATAACAAAATCTCTCAATACTAATGAGTGTGCGTCCACCATTTATCAAATTACTGCATGTACGGGCATCGATCCGCATGACGTAGCGAGTACTATCGAAAAGTTGGCCACTGCAATTCGACTCGGGCAAGACGGAAGGTATGTTTATCACCTTATACAATATATATATTGTACGCGTTTGCTGACCGTTACTGCACTTATTTTATGCGGGTGCAGTTATGCGGCGAAAAACGGAACGAGTTCGAATAGACATAGGTCCATCTGTATACCAATGTTTGTTCTTTTATACTATGATCCGTAGACATTTCTTCGTCCACTTTATCATCACGCCATAAACCTATTTGCTTGTATTAATGATAACTATAATCTCCGCCACTAAATGCTCCTCTTTATTGCCCTTATAAACCTCGTCCGCTTCTGCGATATCAGGCTTAATGTTAGACGAACATGCTTTTCTTTTATTATTCAATAAATTTAAAATAATTTATTCTTTTCGGCAGTTTGCATAAAACGGCGAGAAGACGACAACTGGTAGTTGCAAGCATTTTGTGTTTTCTCTTTAATACGGATACTAATAGCAAATGAGAGACAATGAGAGATGGCGGATGTAACTAAATTACATAGAAACTTGTGGATCAAGATGGATGAAAACCGATCCCTCTTTATGTCCACGGATACTTTACACCGAATAATAAATTTATGCAGCACAGCATTGGCTACGTGTGACTTATCGCGATAGCCTCTTCGCATCGTAGTAATCGCGGATACAACTGCCGGAACGTAATTTAAATTGCGTTATCGAGCCGGATTCGGTGAGCATTTGGCGCCATCTCTCATTATCTAAATCCATTTATATTTAACTGCGGTACCAATTATATTGGTGGCCCAAATATACCACTGACTTTACGGATAAGGGAACACGTACTAAAGTGGGTTCATCGTAGGCTAAACGAACAGCCTTATCTTCCCAATTTCTGCCGGTCTGTAAGCCGCCGGCAGAGCTTGGGGAGGTAAACACATATTCATTACTTGTCACCGGATCAAGCTAGTTACCGTATTCAAAATTTTGTTGCAACACTAATCCGCGATTTCCTCGGTTCGCTGAGGCTATCGCGATTAGTCGAATGCAGCCAAAACTGTACATAGACAGACAGTTATTCGCAAGACGCAGGATTCTGTGTACATAAAGACCGAATCATTTTCATCCCTCTTGTTACTTTTTTGGTCACCTCCACCGTCTGTTATTTTTCTCATTGTTATTATATTGGTACAGAAAAGGCAATACCAAATGCTTTCATCTACCAATTATCGAAATTTTACATTATTTAATGGGACTTGTTTAAACTCATACCTCCTAAACAAGGCGATAGATCGCGTTTTCACATTGTCGAATTGTATATTGCAAATCAGTGTAGCCGTGAACGATTATATCTGCTGTAGCGGTTTGTCCATATTATGTGAATTTTATTCCAGGCAAATCTAGGCTTCTTCCCCTCAGTTCTTATAAGTTTGTCCGCTTTCTCTGCTTGCGTTTCATTTTCGTGTTATCATTCAACATTCGTTCTTCCTTGGCCCATTCTCTTGCCCTCACCTCCATTAATCAGCTTAAACAATGGAAGGTTATGCTCGACCGTGCCGGCAAATTTTGATATGATTCCATGGTCAAAGCCCAAATACATTGCTCAATTGCTCAAATGATGATTGATTGGTTACCGCCATTTTTTCGATCGGCACAGTGACACATGACGTTTCATCAGACACATGAAATAATTCCATTATGCGCTAGCTAGACTCGTGTGATTCCACTTTGGGGAACTGGTTTGTAGTATGATTTAAAGGATGCTGAGTCTTAAGTTTCAGAAACAACCAATATCCACAGCCTGCATATTCCAATTATCATTGAACGCCGTTATGTCGCTGAACTATTGCGGTTGAACCAAACCAGCAACCTGCTGCATAAATTTAACCTGTAATTGGAAAACCAAAGAAAAACTGCCTCCATTCTTTAAATATATTACTTATCTGTATTAAGAAATTTCTTTGACAACATGAAAGATGCTTTCCAAGATGACAACTGTGCAGCGTTTGTTTTATTTAGCGTACTTCGTTTGGGAGATATATGAATACTACTACATTTATTCAAGCACTACGTACACCTTGTTGGTTCTGTGTTTATTTGACGCAGACCTCTTAAGCCCACCGTGGTTTCATTTAATGAAACCCCTAAATCATATGTCTGCGTATATTAGTGCGCCGTTGTAAATGAGACTCTCATTTTAGGAATAATGGTTGCGATGCAGCGTAAAAGTACAGTAGCTCCACCCGAAAACCATTATTATCAGTTTGGTCACTCATTGCAGCGCATTAAGCATGTTTCAGAGCCAGCGCTGCGCTTACTTGTTTGAATCAGATGAGATAATTTTCACCCAAAATATGACTGCTTGTCTTGTTTCGGATTATCAGACACAAGCACTTCAGTGTAGGCAACTGCTTACTTCAGCCCAGTTAAAGTAGTCTGTTTCATATAACAACATTTTAGGTACTGTCCGTTTCTAAATTCTTAAGTGGAACTTCATGTTTGGTTTCGTTTCGTAACCCAAACACAGGCCCATTTTCTGTTTTGATAAGACGAATTTGCTTCAGCTGAAGCACAAGTTGGATACTCGCAAGCATTACTGGATCCCATTGGACGAAACGTGTCTTCGATGGTCACGTATACCGCAATTACAAGTGAGTCATTTACATCATTAATCTCCGTCATACACGAGTCTCTGTTAGCCAAACCTCACCGAGATCAAGGATAAATTTTCACATAATGTTGGATTTAGTTTCGAAAACAAATGTGCCATATACTAAATGGAGGTCGCATTTATCTAGTTGCCCAAGCGAATGACCGAACTGTTAACAATTTTGAAAAACCAATGACAGCACCTCTTGCCACCGTGACGTCAAACGTATCAACCTTTAATAGTACACCACCCCAAGTTTCTTATGTTTAGTCCAGACATGGAAGAGTGATCGAAATGAACATGACATGATTGTTGTGTGTTTTCCCCAGATCGCGCGCGCCCGGTGGTGGCTTTGCGTAGCCACAACTCGTCGACATGGTGTGCCGGCATACTGCTGACGGATACAGCATATTTCGAGTCGATCATTTCAGAACACACTGATGTTTGGCGTTCATGCATGAGTGTAGCAAATTCACATATTCGCTTGTCCATTCCGTGGAAACAGGGTGTTCTAAAATCCACTGGATTTTCTTTGATAACTTGGCTATTTAAGTGCTCTGTATTCGGGGATTTGCGATTACTACTTCTCATTCTGTTTTCGCCGACTCCCACAAATATGAACTTCGAGCGCACCAACTATACCACCAACTTACTTGTGCCCGTATATATGCGGATTCATTACACTATCAAATGCATTACATTTGAAATTTCACAGTAGTTTGTGTTGTGGATACGCTTCATTTGTAAAACAAAACTCGCTTATCTAAACGAGGAAAACCATTGGATGTTCGCGGTAAAGGTGTTGAATATGAATGTTGTTTCGGTAATTCCATTGCACACAACCCTCTTTTAGTTCCATCAGTTGTGCTAAAATGCGCCGTAATCCAGCCCTATTTTATCTATTGGCGTTTCAATCGTGATATCTTGAGTTGTGACGTAGTATCCGAGGCTAATAAATGTCTCACATAAATACCCGATCCGACATATCTATAGAAGACGTTTTCCTTGTTCATAACCTCAATCTATAAGTCGCAAAGAGAAACTGTATTATAAACTTGGTTACCATAAATTGAAAGCAACTTTAGGCTATTACGCCACATAGGATCCTTGAAAAGTATACCAACCGTGCTATCCACGGATATTAGCAATTTCCCATTCGGAATATTCGACTTGCTTGCAGCTGTATTACGCAAATCGCTCATTCTGTACAAAGGCATATTTCCCCTGATTCCACATCATTAATGACACACGAATGTACCTCAAACGTTTCAGCTTATTTCTATGTTGTATACTATTTTCATTACCTGTTTTTCACACACGTGCCAAAATTTCTTGTCTCTATGTAAAAATGTGTCTCACATAGCGGGATAACCTTTTACCGTTGGCTAATATATTCATTCATCCACCCAATTTTTTGTTGTTGTTCAATTAACAATGAACAAACAATTGGGCCGGGTAAAATAGCAGTTGCTCGACATGTCCCGCAGAATGGTTGGGGTAAATCTATAATATCAATAGGTATGTTTTTTATCTGTTTGAGACTTTATCGTTTAGATAAACTGCTGAATAATAGTAGCGTACGGGTGAATTTATTGTGAACAATGTGGCAACATTGAAGCAGTTATAGTTGCTTCAGTTTGTAAGAAAACTTCCAAAAAACAAATATTCACTTCTGTACCGCCTTCTCGGCTTTTTGTGAAATTTTACTCGAGCTTGAAAGGTAACTAATATATTCCAAATAACAAGGTTAGTTAACCAAATTTTGCGCGCCAAGGGCAAGAACCAATAGTTTTACGAAAAATTCTGATTTAGGGGAATATACCACTATGATTGGAGAGAGTTCCAGGGTTGCTAAAATCGAAGCGAAACTGATACCCCTAACATTTTAGGCGGTTATACTGTTCACACAGTTTCCGAAGGTTACCACTGAAATTTGTGTTATGGCTGAGCCACAGATTGGGGTCACACAATATTTGGTAGACTAATATGAGTTCACTGGGCAGCCTTCGGCAGAGGCCACGGAAAACTCTCAGAGAATTCAGCCTTTGCTGATAGCACAGCTTTCGTAGACCCTTGCAGCTCCTTGTGGCTCTGTCTTGCGATGTACTTAGCACATCTATTTCATGCTATAACAAAGGTTGCCAGACTTGGATGGCAAATTCAACGTGAGGGTGCACGTTAGATTTGTGCATTATGAGGAAGAGGGGTCAAAACTGCAAAAGGCTCCACGAAACAGGCCGAAGAGCTGTTTTCCTCTTTTAACAGCTGCCTTTGAGTGCTATGAAAAATTAAGTTCCCTTGGCTTGAGTACACTAAGGTCGTGTTCCTGTGAATTGGTTTGTTATACATTTGGCTCAAGTCTTTACACGTAGTCAGGCCTATGGCGCAATTAAGCAGGGTGGTATTTTTCCATATTGAACGGTAGTGTATGATGGACTGACCAGTTACAAAAGGTGTTGAGGTTACGCTGGAATTTTCCATGGTAGTTAGGTTCACTGATTGCTCGCTAAAGCTTGATATCATCTGCGAAGAAAAGGAAAACGGAAGTAATTTCCTTTTCCAGGTGGTTTATGAATAGCAATAATAAACTGGGTCCAAGCATCCCACTGCATTTGCGTCGAACGTTTTTGACGGACATTGCTTCTTAAAAGCACTGAAGGGTCAGCACTGGTTTAGGTCTGAGGTTTGTGGAGGGGATTTCGGTGGTTTAAGCGATCAAACCCTTTTGAGAATTCCAGGCAAATGACATCGACTCCTGCTCCACCACCATCTGTTTCAGTCCACTTATTGCGAGCATCTGGCAGGTTCGTAGTGCATGAGCTTTTTGTCGGAAGCCATGTTGCTATGGTGCTAGTATACAGTGACTTTCAATTTACTGTATGGGTGCATCGACTGTGATAGCCTCATAAGATTGGGAAGCAAAGAGAGCAAAGTTGAGGACGGTAATTGGTATGGTCCGTGTGAATACCTATCTTATGAATAGATATGATGACCCCTCACTTCTATATAACTGCCCTTTGTTCTCCTCTAGACAGAGCTGATAGAAGTTAGCCAGATATTCTGCCAGATAAGTGTCTGCTGCCTGTGTAGCCTACAAACAAATGCTGCGGAAACCAGGAGAACCAGAGCTTCCTTGTATATTTCTGCATTAAAATTGATATTAGAGAAGGTTGATGGTGGAACAATTGAAACAGGGAAAGCTGTTTGGGCCAGTTACTCTCTGGAACCTTCTTAATTATTGAAACCATAATTTATTGGCTGTTTCCTTTGCTGATCTCGTTTGCCCGTCATTCTTGTCTAGGGCTCGAATTCTACCTTGCAACTTACGAGGGCCATTTAAATGTGTGTGTAAGAGTTGTGGTTCATGCAGAATTGCTTTATTAACTCCTGCAGGTGCGCAACTTGTGCTCGCAGATCATGCTTACACATGTTACACTCTTCGACGTAGGCAGTCTACGTTTCGGTATTCGCGGAGTCATTGTAGGCTCTCCACGCTGAGTCCCTCAATGACATGCATTAACGTCTTCTGCTCCCCAGAAATGACTTGCGTCTTCCTTGTGGAAGGAAGAATTACTGCTCAGCCGCGTGCGTTACTAGTGTGTTAAATGTTCTTGCGAAATTTCCCAGACGATGTTTGGGGAAGGCATTCAGTTTAGTAGATCCAATATCCCTACTTAACAAGGGCGGATAACACATTGTAGTGCGTGACCGTATACTTGCATCTTCCTCTTCCTCAGGATATTCCGCATAACACTGATAGTCCAACAGTAGAGTACGGTCACCGCGACCTAGTGGTGTACTTGTAATTATGCTGTCGACAACGTGTTATTCATTGGTGAGTGAAAGATCAAATATCGACGGTCTGCTAGTATTTCCAGTTCTGGTGGTGTAGGTCACGTGGTTAGAGATGTTAGCAGGGAATTACCTCTTGTTAACAGACGTTAAACCGTATGCCATCGAGCACCGCTATTTTCAGGTAGTGCATACTAAATTCGCGTGCGCTGAGAATGCGACCGTATGACCTGCTAAAAGCAACCAGAGTAACGTGGTTCAGGATGGAGTCCAGTTCACACCTTGACTTTATATGAAGGCAAATCACAGCTATGATACATATGTCTGTTCTGCAACCATAGGGGCAATAAAGCGAATCTGGGGCGCGGATTTCTTGGTGGTCAATAATTTTCCATCAGAGGCTTTATTGTTGAACAGGATTTTGCCACCCCTTACAGCGCTATATCTCCGAAGCATCGTCATACCAGGTAAATGTACCTCGAAAGTTGCTATCTCAAGGCGTAACCAAACTTCCGCAATCATAATGAGATCCCGCCGTTGTGACGCCTCGGGTTATTTATTTCGGACAAATTACTAAGATGAATTTGAACGTTAGTACGCAAACAAGCTAGTGTTTTATGTTTTGAAATCTGAGTGGACAACAATTTCGTGTTTATTATTAAGCCAACCTTTCGTCGGTCGATCGCTAATCATCTACTGCGTGAATTATTAAGGCTTGAATTGCTAACAGGCTGTATAAAATACGGAGCTTTCCCCATCGAGATCTTTTTTCGTGTTTCTCCCTATCCCCTCAAGTGTCATGAGTGCTATTGCGTCTATCACTCTGCAGGATTGTGAAGACAAATATTTTACTGAAATTGCATGATCCAATGAAATGCTGAATACTATTAGCCTGCGTCTGTAATATTTAAGCTAATCTCGGCGGGTAACCTGAAGCGATGCCTAAGTAAGGGTACCGTGTATATGTCAATATTTGATTAAATCTTTACGTTCCATAGATTGTTGAATTGGCTTTTCTTTGCATGTCTGCACAGGATGTGAACGGTTTTCAGGAGATCTACAATTCCAAATTTGAAGTCAAAGCAGCTGATGATAATGGTGACTTCGGCAGTTGCAATACCTATGCTCTTGATGTCTCTCCTACTGAAAGTATGTTTCTATTTCTTTCCAACTAAGCGACTGATGCTTTATCGTATCAGATGCAATTATGTGATATCTGGTGCATTGACTTGTGTACTTAAACCTGTAAACGCTGACTTAGCCATTGGGTCTTTCACGAAGCAACATCGACATTTTCCCCTCGGGTTATACATGCATGGCCCATCTTGCAACGAATCACCAAAACCTCATATCTGTGCGTGTCTACCTTACTATGGAACCGCCACATCCACATCTTTAGATAAATATTGCTGGATCAGTTCTCATCACAAACTTGGCACGTGTTTGAAGAATACCAGTCAGTTACTCGGCCGCTTAGGTCCTTTATTTTTCTATGACTCTAGAACATCCGATCCGTGTACAATAAGTGGGATGCCGATATTTATCATCTCCAATTAGATTGCGTCCATGGTTGATCACACGCAATGTTCTATTATTGCCACTGCCACATGCATTATGCGTCAACGCTCAAATATATTGAGCTGACAAAGTTAAAGGACCAATGCTTCACAAGCTGTGCGATCGTGGTTTAACCATTATACATTGATTAAACTTAACCACCTCCCCTGACTTGTTACACAGTTAGGTCGCCCTCACAGCATTTGCTATGAAAGTATTCAATTTATAGCAATTATAAGAATCACAGGGGAATGCTTTATTCAGCAATCCAATAAATCAAATGTAATACTATGGAAATGTGTTGAGTAAAATATTCTTTTGGCAACTCTTAACAGACTCAGACATTTACAAGTTGCGAGTTACATGGTAATTGTGACGATTTGGGCCAAATATTCATTTGGATTTAAAATGTATCGGCTAAATTGATGAATCACGTGGTCACTAAATGTGGTAGATACATTGCAATGTAAAGGTAAATAGGTATATTATGTTCACAATCGATCAAGTGATGAGGTACTGAAAGATGTGTTTTAGAGTAAAAGTAACTTGGGCACCAAGTACTCCTGTAAGCAAGACTCCAGCTTATGGTAATAAAAATAGCTCTCCACTGCAATGTACATGCTATGTTTACGGAATCCCTGTGAGAAACTATCCGGTATTGTGTGAATAACTCGGAAATCCTCTCCAGAGCCTGCGTGACCATACTCAAGGAGGTTTCATCTGATGGATGTGTTAAAAGGCCCCGTGTTAAGAAGAAACTTTGTCTCTATAAATCCACTTCAGGATGTAGTCGTGAATCCTATGAGGTAGGGCGGCTCGTATTGCGACCCAAATATCGTGCACCACAATAGCAGGTGTATTGATACACAAGCCTACCTGTGCAGCAAGATAAATAGGTCACAATACGAGACCCCTACCTAATAGGATAGGCGAGCTGCAAAATATGTCTTCCCAACAGATTATTTTAAAGCGTTTGGTCAGGACATAAGCTGCAATGTCGAACTTGGAATTAAATGCACAAAAGCTTCCTTTTGGGCTATGATTAAGCAGTGCGCGTTTCTTTTAATTTCCATACTAAATTATTGCACGGATTCCAGGAACATCTCATGTCCATTGCCGAGGAGAGCTATATATATGCCAGCTGAAGCTGGAGCTGTGCGTACAGCTACATATTTCACGCCAGTTACATTTATCATAGAACTCGTCACTTGGTACCTGAACTTTCGATATGGTGTTCAACCTAGTTAAGAATAGATGGGGCGTAAAACTAATGTACCTAATTACCTGTACATTGCAATTTTATTACCACATTTAGTGACTCCGCGATTCATTTAATTGGACAATAGATTTAACATCATAATCAATATTTGGCCCAACTCGGCACATTTACCATGTAACCCGCAACTGTAAATTTCTGAGTCGGTTGCGTTTTACAGAGTAGAGTATTTAACTCAACGCTGATACATCGTATCCCACTTAGGAGATGTGATCCACCCTTGATGACGTGGGTATCGGAATGTGCTCATGGTACACATAGTTACAATTTTCTATTGATAGCCATAACAACAGAGTCGGCGCATGTGCTAATCAAACGGTATTGGATGTAAGACCCCTGCTGTATTGTACGCAATCTAGTAGATGTAAAACATCACTGTTCATCCAAGTGATCTTTTCGCTTACACAAAGAAGTTTAAATGGCTGCATTCATTAGACATCTCGTTAAAATGTCCGCTGTTGTACTGTTAACCGACCGGATGTCTCATTTACTATTCGGATACAAATCAAGCATTTTCATTGCAGTTAAATTAATGCTGCTAGATTTGTATGAAAATCGGTAAATTTAGCTTTATGTCATAATGGTGCACAGAAAATTGGATTTTGCTTTCTGATTTAACAATGGACAATCATGATGTAATCAAGGTAGTGCAAACGCATATTACGACCACTGTGTTTCTTACGGGCAATTTGAGTGTTTCTCGTGTTATTAGATGTGGAATCAACTCATCCATACACCCATGTGCACCTGGTACTGCACAAGATAACTTACTCTAATTTCGTCATTCTGCGCACCAAGGTTACTACGGGGATGTAGAATCAAATGAGGACTCCACAACGAATATTCGCAGGTACCGGGAATCGAACGCAACTGGTGCCTACCTGGACACTTCGAGTCCATCGTTGCCAGACAGTATAGTACATCTCAGACCACTCCAAGCAAGCTCCCCCAGAGCATATTCAAATGAGGTGAGTAGCCTTCTTTGTATGTACATGGGACCAATATTTCAGAGTACTATCACATTCATTTTGACTAAAATTCGACAACACTTGCTTGCACAATTTTCGTACCTAGTCCACATGTCTTGAACTGTGTCACGCTAGAATGTCACTTTTATATTTGTTTGCCCTTTCCATGCATCCATCTAAGTCCGATGTATCAGTGACATGCTTGGTGCCATCATCAGTCCGTCCGTATCTATGAGGTGATTTGCTAGAGATTTCCTCTCAACCATAAGCATAAGAAAGAAGCAGTAGTCTTTACGGGTTATCAGACCAACTTGCTTGGTAAAACACAAGGCCGCACATGGGATGTCCAAAAGCTGCGACTATTTGCCCTCAAGCGAGCACACCCATGCAAAGCGGAGCAGGTCCATTAACACCCACCATCTAATGCCTATAGAGCTCACGGTTAAATTGTCTGACCAATTCCAAAATTACTAGGCGCTGAACTTAATCAATACCGCCTGCACGTAGTCTCAACTTGCTCGCGGCGGTTCCTAACTATCATAATCATACACCATCAGCTCTCGCCGCCATACATAACATAGTAATAGCAGACTTTTGATTTGACAACTGCCAGGAAGATACATTCTTCAGATAGACCGCCAGTGAACATCAGTGAACATCAACAACAATCTGCCGCCGACGACAATCACCGCACATCAACCTTCATTTGTTTTTTAAGTTCGTCGTGTAATCGACATTCCATGAGGTTATTTTGCTTAAAACGGATCCATACATAAGGTATAATTTCATAGATCCCTAACTGCCATTTCTTCGTGATTACTCCATGATCCCGTAGGAAGTTTTTATGTTACTTCTGAGGCTCCTACGTGTCGTTGTATTCATCCAACTAAACTTCCGTCACTCGGTTTTGTACAAGGACGATATGGTTGTTATAGATACCCCCCATACCGAACAGGTGCATAGTCACACAAAGGTTGTCGCTGCTTCGCTATGCTAACATCCAGTGAGGACTTTTAACTATAAC